CCCATGTTGTTAGGCAGTCGCTAGGGTGTTCCAGGTGTTTTTTCCCATGTTGTTTGGCAGTCGCTCGGGTGTTCCGATGTTTTTTCCCCATGTTGTTAGGCAGTCGCTAGGGTGTTCTGGGTGTTTTTTCCCCATGTTGTTAGGCAGTCGCTAGGGTGTTCCAGGTGTTTTTTCCCATGTTGTTAGGCAGTCGCTAGAGTGTTCCAGGTGTTTTTTCCCATGTTGTTTGGCAGTCGCTAGGGTGTTCCGGGTGTTTTTTCCCATGTTGTTAGGCAGTCGCTAGAGTGTTCCAGGTGTTTTTTCCCATGTTGTTTGGCAGTCGCTAAGGTGTTCCAGGTGTTTTTTCCCATGTTGTTTGGCAGTCGCTAGAGTGTTCCAGGTGTTTTTTCCACCATGTTGTTTGGCAGTCGCTAGGGTGTTCCGGGTTTTTTTGTTTTTGTTTTTTCCCTATGTTGTTTGGCAGTCACTAGGGTGTTCCGGTTGTTTTTTTCCACCATGTTGTTTGGCAGTCGCTAGGGTGTTCCGGCTGTTTTTTTGTTTGTTTTTTTTACCATGTTATTAAGCAGTTGTTAGGGTGTTATTGGGTTTTTCCTGCATAGTGAATTGACCCTTTGCAAAGACCCGGGCCCCTTAGTTACTGTTGCTATGTCCAACAAGCCATGCCACTCTCACACCACACACCATGTTCTCACACAGTGAAAAATACATTGCGGAGCAAAGATGACACAGACAGACAAGACAGAGCAGAGTAATTGTGGTATGAAACAAAGTCTTACCTTTCCAAATTTTTTTATTTTTTTTTATTTTTTACAAATTTCAAACAAAAATACAGTTTTGTGGCTCTTTAATGTGTCATGTCAAATCAGTGTTGCGCCTGTTTACTTAAGCATGAAATAAACATGATTGAACCTATTCCTATTGAACTTATATTTTATTTCAACTGCGGAAAGACGTCAATGCACAGCATTTTTAAGTTTAAGTCCACCGAAGTTAATCTACTTTCCTGTTTGATTTGTTTGGAGGATAAAACGGCGGATTCAGTGTTATGACTGGTCAGGTCACCTGTCAATCAAGCTCCCTGCGAAGGGTCAATTCTGAGGCGGCTGCATCTGTGAAAGTTTTTGTGCCGCCTCTGACTGTCGACAACAGCATCCATTAGGATTTTTAGTCCAAAAGTGTGAATTTTTGGAGAAATGCTGATATATTTTCATGTTTACTTCATATTTCTTTAGACAGAATCATCATTTCTATTCATGACTCTTGCAGTGCAATATGGGTATTCTCTAGCAGTTGACTGAGTGTACATCGGTACACTCATTTTTGCGGTGCATTATGGGATTGAATGAGTGCACTCATTCAAAACGTCTGCTATGGTTTCAGACTCCACTACAAATGGCTGTCCAATCAAATAGTGCCCTATTTAATGGTATAGGGGGCAGTTTAAAGTGAGTTTTGAGGAAAAACATAGTATAAATCATATAAATTGTCTTATCTAGCATGACACTAATTTTATCTCTAATGCATCTGTTACCCTAATGCAATTATATTTTATAATGTAAGAAAATGTTTTGTTTTCTATAAAGACTCTTTATAATAAATGGATAAATGTGTATTGGAATCAAAGCGATGTGGGTCAGGAAGCATTGGACTATGAAGAGGTTTTATAAAATGAAAAATAGGAGGCTGAAACGTTCTGCCTCTGCTTGTGCACTGTGTATGGCTTTAATGCAATGTTTAACAACCTTATGCTTATGTTCAATTACACTGCAAAAGTGCCTCTTTTAGCTGTTATGTTCTTTTTAATGAATGTTCAACAGGTTAGCTTTTCGAAGAATATGCTTGATGATTATCATTTTCTTTGACCATCTAATTAGATGACGTTGATTGTAAAGAGCATTTGCTTCAGCCAGTTGAAGGCACGGTGCGGTATGTGTGCAAATGATCAGGATGGTACCACCTCCACCTCATTTTGAGCCAGGAAAACCCTGGTTAGGGTGTTCAGGTTTTTTTTCAGCAGGTTGTTAGACAGTTGCTAGTGTGTTCTGAGTGGTTTTTACACCATATCTACACCAGACACAACCGTTATCACTCAAGTTGCATCACGCCGCAACAAGGCTGTCTGTACTGAATACAACAAAGCCACCGCTGCAAATCATTTGTCCTTTGTGTCAGTGTCTGTGTAGGTGTTGTTTGGTGGTTGCTGGGTGTTCTGGGTATGACCAATAATAATAGCAATGCTAGCTTTAGTAAACACTATCACTGCAGTTCAGTGTCCATTGATGTTTCCCAGCTACAACTTCTTCATTACATACCCATGCACATACCCTTGCCGTTATGTTTCTGTTTTTATAATTTCACATTTAAAACATTTGTTTCTTAAAACAATTTCTTCAACTGTAATTTCTTTATAAATGCATTTATATTGTCGCTGCGCTGCGATAAAAATGCTGTATGCGCACTGCTTCTGTGTCGCCTTTGCTGTGGTGCTCATTACTATTGTGGGCCACTATTGTGTGTTGTGGTGTAAACTCATCACCATTATTACCTCATGTTGCTCCAGCTGGACTGAATCACTAATAATAGTATTTATTTTGCCCGGTTGTGTAAAATGCCACTGTCGATCGTGATCACCATTCGTCAGCCTCCATGTTGTTTGTATTTTCTGCAGTAATGGCCCAACATGGGCTTGGCATATCGAGCTCCTGTATTCAGGAGAGCATCACTGACTAAACGATGGCAGAGGATCAATGTTCAGAGACGCTCACAGACCCCCAGAGAGCCAAGCTGACGCGTGTCTCCACCATCTGCAGACCTATTCCTCCAGCCCCAGCGCTGCCAGACCGGGGTCTGCGGGTCAATCTGAGGAGCAGAGGGAGGGAGACTCACAGGCAGGGGGAATTGCTGTAGGAGCTCCCCTCCTGCCATGCATATTCATTGGAAAGCCCGTTTAGCAGCTGCAGTACGACGTAGTAGGGCCGCGTAAGCAATGATGTAGGAGATCGTGAGGGACTAGGGGGAGGGGAGCGCGTGAGAGGCGCGCTAGCGAGGGAGGGAGGGAGGGAGGGAGATGCAAGCAGAGCGTGAGCATCTCTTCCTGGCATTCAAGCTGTCAGTGGAGGAAGACGGAGAAATTCAACAGCAATATCAACCCCGCGCTCTTGAGAAGCAGCACAAGAGTTACGAATCCCAGGCGACCCTCACCTTTACCCAGAGCTTAACCTTCACTAGCCATGAACTTCCTACGCCGTCGCCTCTCTGACAGCAGCTTCATCGCCAACCTGCCCAATGGCTACATGTCGGATCTCCAGAGGCCTGACCCACCTCCACCACCTCCTCCCACTGCTGCCACCAAAACCCCCGCCGGAGTGACTCCTGCCCCATTGGCCCCTCCGGCGGACAAGTCCCCCACCGCTTCTCCAGCCCCCGAGCGACGGCCACAGCCCGCCCAATCCAGCGGCTCGGGGTTCTTCAGCTCCATCACCAACGTGATGAAGCAGACCGCCGCCTCTGCGGGACTGGTGGAGCAAAGTCCTGCGGTGGTGTCGCGGAAGTTCAAGATCCTGCTGGTCATCGACGAGCCCCAACACGAGTGGTGAGTTTCCTTGCTTTGACCTGGACTTGTTGAATGATGCATTTGAATTGTGCGCTATTCGAACCAGCTTTGTGCAAAGCTTTGATAAGTTTGCACCTTGTTTTAGAGGTACACTCTCAGTCTCAGTTTTCTCCCTCAATCAGAAGTTGATTGGTACCTTGGACAGCACCACCAGTCTTTTTTATGCGCCTCTTTAGCAGATGGCTGCATTCAAAGAGGCTTGATTTACAACACCGTTTGTCACGACGCAAATAAAGCAGATTGAGCACCAGAGCTGTTTTCTACATCACAGAGACTGTCTTGATGTTTTCTGGTTGCAGTTAGAGGGAATGCACATCACAGTCGATGGAAATTCTCCCAGAGTGAGTTGTGAGCTGTGATTGAGATGTATCACTGTTTAATGTGATGAGTGTGATGATACTATCACTGATGATGAAAGGTCAGACTGCTTCAAATACGAATGATCTGCAATTTTTCCATCTTTTGCAGTATTGACTAATCCTAATTGGCGATTATGAAACGCCTGCTGGTCACGGTTGCTATGCTCCACACCAGTGCTGCGATTGATTGGCTGGGAAAAGCCCAGTCCAAATGCACCTGATGAATGTTCAGGGTGCATTACATTAATGAGCTTAGGTCTGTAATTCACATGCTCCAGAAGACCAGCAGAGATAATTATTCACAGGCTTTGCATAATAAAAAAAAACCCAGAGACACGCTCAGAGCAGAGGAATCACACCTTAGTTACAAGCATGAATATTTCAGTGGCGTTCCTACAGGGGAGTCAGCATGTGATCTCTCTAAGAAAGCAAAGCCAGCTGGGTTTTCTGTGGATACTATTGATTTTTCCTGCACTGGAGAAGCCCATAAGGCTTGACAGGACTTACTTAAGAAGCTATTGCTTTTCCTGTAATAAAAGCCAGCCAAGTGCATACACTTGCATTTCATTTTGCAAGACTTTCATGATAATTCGGTTTATTTAGCATGCTGGAAGGATGCAGCACGTTGCGTCTTCAGGCCACACACTGAGCATTAACCAGTAGGAGTGCAGCTTGAGACGTGTGCCAGGAGATGTGCAGTGAATCTCCAATGTGTCGTGCCGAATAATGACACAGACATTATCCTGAGTCACTCCCTTGCCACTGAGCTTCTGCCAGCAATCTGTTTGTGTTCATATTTTATAATGAGAACTTATCCCTGCACATTTCATATGATTATCCACATTTAAGTATGACGGTCAGTCCTGGCATTAAGTGAGAACGGTTAATTATTTGTGGTCTGGATAGCATCGTCTGTATAGTGGATGACACAAACAACAAGCTTACATAACCGCCGGCCTCCGTCCTCTGTGTGATCTGCCATGTCCACTCCTCAAAGAAAAAGACCTCCGCTTCATAGACGGTGTGCTTTTCTATGCATGCTTTACTATTCCCTGGTTTTCCTGAATTGCACATTTTAAAAAAAATCCTAAATTCCTACTTTATTAAGGAGAAACCCGTGCTTTTGCAAAAGACTAGTTTTCTGAACCCCCTCCAAGCCCAGAAGGAAGGGAGAAATCCCGGTGGTATGTGTGAATACGGGATCTCAGTTCTGCCCTTGAGTCTCCTCTATGTAGATCCAGAGAGAGCAGTATAAAAGCAGTCATGTGTTGCCAAGTAGTGAAAAGGGACATGGTGAATCAGCACAGCGAGCCCGAGGCTTGCATCTGTGCGCTGTGTGTGGTTGCAGCGTGTGTGAGGATGCTATTATAGCTGGGAAAGCAAAATGTCGACACGCAGATAGATATTTTTCATATTGTAGTACCGTTTATGCATATACATGCATGTTAATATTCCATTTGTGTGTTTTGTTAAGCTGTGTTTTTTCAGCTTTCCTTTATTGAGTTTGCTGTTTAAAATGAACGAATCGTTCATGAACGACACACCACTAATACCGTATAACAAACTGATATTTCAGTCAAAAACTGGCCATGCAGTTAGTTTATGTATTTAATCTCTGCCAGCTAAATATGAGTTCCAAAAGAAGCATTCTGCGCTCATGCACTCCACTTCCGCTCCGGGTTTAATATTTCCTGGTTCTGGAATACAGTCTGCTTGGATGTGCGTCTCTGGCCGAGCGCAGGTGTGCTTGTGAGTCTGTGTCCCTCAACACATGGAATATTAACCGTAGTGTAATTTAATCATGTCTTCTGACCTTATTTGACAGCATCCAAACTCAATCACCATATGCCTCCCATCCAGCACTGCTCTGCTGAACATCAACAGAGACACAGCACATGCTTTAGCTGCTCATTTAATGGCTACAACATTTAGCTGTTAAGGTATAACATATGGGTTAGTAGCTAATGCATTACCGTTTATTAAAGCGTAATACTGTATAAAGCTGTAAAAGATCGCTGTTAGGTGTGACATATGGGTTTGTAAATTGCTTCCGTAGTGCTTTGAGCAGAGAAACTATTTCTTATGAAAGCAGTGGCACTTATTCTTTTGCATTTAGGTACGACAAATGTCAAGTCAAATTTATTTCTATAGCACTTTTCACAATGCACGATGTTTCAAAGCAGCTTTGCAGAAAATCATGATGTTAATGTTTATAATATCTTATTATTTTCATTCTTATACACAATCATGGGACATCTGATAATCAAGCTATTGAACATTTTCTCACCAAGGCTTTGAAAACGAATGATGTTGAATTAGTTTTCATTTATGACAAATAAGCCGCTGACTGTAAGTGTTTATTTGATAAAAAAAAGTCTGGAACTATATTACAATCTTTAACCGTAATAATGCAGATTAATATGAGATGGAATGATGTGGTTATGTTTTATGGTAATATTTAGAGCCTAATCAAACAGAATCGTATCTCAGTAGCCCACTAGTCAAGTCTCCTAGGAAACTTCGGCAGCGTTTCTTAATAAAACAAACAGATCTTTCATCGTTTGTCCTTTGCTTGTTTTGCTTAATGAGGCTGTTGATTCTCATCGATGTCGCACACATCTGCTCAGATTAATAACTGAAGGCTCAAATGCAGCACTTCATTTAGCAACCAACATTTCTCTGAACGCTAATGAGGGTTGGCTGAAGATTTTCATCCTGTAGCTTTGACAGATAGCTGGTGAAAAATTATTTGTGCAATTATTAGAAACTCTAGGCCTGCCAGAACTTTTTAATTGTTTAGTTTTAATTGTTTACCTTGCACCAAAATCACTGTACATCATTTAATCAAAAACATCATGAACAAGAAAACATAGCCCTGATGTTTTTATTTTTTTTATTATTAGATTAAATATATTACAAAATGCCAGTAATGGATTCTATTTGAAGTGTTTTAATGATTCCTCATTGGACTGATTTCAGTATGTGTAACAACTTTATTACATTCTCACTGACGCTGCAGGATCTGGAAAACACACAGAGTATTTTGTTAAAACATTGTCATAATTTGTTGTCAACGCTGAATACATGTGTTCATTTCTGTAATAACAGGTCAGAATCTACAGCAGATGTTTGATGGGACAATAGTGTGTCATAAGAGTGTACCCTGCTGATAGTGAATGATCTCAGTGCCTAAATACAGACTTTAGATGATTAAATCACAATTAAAAATGTCTGAATGTCAAACATGATAAATGTGACCATGGACCACAAAACCAGTCATAAGGGAAATTGTAATTAATAATTTGAATCAATAGGACAATATTTGGCAGAGATACAGCTATTAGAAAATCTGGAATCTGAGGGTGCAAATAAATCTAAATATTGAGAAAATCATCTTTAAAGTTGTTCAAATGAAGTTCTTAGCAATGCATATTACTAATCAAAAATTAAGTTTTGATATATTTACGGTAGGACATTTACTAAATATCTTCATGTAACATGATCTTTACTTAATATCCTAATGATTTTTGGCATAAAAAGAAAAATCTATAATTTTGACCCATACAATGTATTGTTGGCTATTGCTACAAATATACCCCAGCGACTTAACACTACTTTTGTGCTGCAGAGTAACAAATGATAAAACAACAGATCTAATGTTGAAAATGAGAATAGTATTATGGGAATTTGTGTTTGTGGTTAGTGGATGAGATTGCTATTTTTATTTTTTTATTTTTTTTATTTAGTTAGGATACATTTCTCAATACTAATGTCACTTTTTCAAAACTCTTTACACATTTCTCATAACCAACTTTCATCTTGGCGCAGAAGTTAATTTCACAATAAAAAGTCTCAAATCAACTTATTCTTATGTAACACTAGTAAGGATTGTCCACCAACCAACAGACCTTGCCACTCATAAAACACTGACAATGTTTTCTTAAAAAAAAAAAAAGAAGAAGACGAAGAATGACACACTCTATTATTTAGAATTTACTGCAGTATTAAATGACAGTATAAAATAATTGCTTAGTTTTCCCTTTTTGTATACAGTATATGCTAATAAAGGTTTTCAGCTACATCTAATCGTTCTGATAGTATTTCATTTTTTAGTTTTAGAATATATGGCAGTATAGTAATATTGCAGAAATGCAGCCTGTTGCTGTCTTCTTCAGCTTTGTGTTGGGTTTTGAACTTAATTTGGACAGTTTTGAGAAACTGGCCTGCAGGTACATTGAGTTCTCTTGGTTTTTGTGTCTGAGTGAGAAAGCAGTTCATGGAATTTGACAGATGTAGTCACTGAATGCATTTCGTGCCAGTGATAAATGATACGCAGTTCAGCCCACATAGATGCTGTGCTCACTACAGTATGTGAAGAATAAACGTTAGTGGAGAAAACAGATCCTGCAGCATTTAGAGCACGCTCATACAATCACCTGACCCCAGAAATGGCGTTCAGACATCTATTAATTACGTTTGATTCTGATTGGCTGAACTGAGCTGTTGCTTTATTTTCTACTGAGCTGTATTTCAGTTTGAAGCTTGAAGTCATGTCATGATAACAGACCGTCCTCCTCCCACACACTCCAGGCCCTGTCCCAAATGACACACTTGATGTGC